GTCTGTCCCGGGTCTCTTTCCTTCCCGTCGGCTTCTCTTTCTCTTATTCTTCATCGGAGCTGAGTGGAGCACCCAACCGCTCCGCGGTGCCCTGAGACGCCGAAGAGTTAGCACGCGCATTCCGGTTAGCGGTCCGACGAACGCTTAACCGTTGCTGTTCGTCCCTACTCGACATTGCTGGTATCGTATCGCTCGCCGCGCTGTCATTCAGCCGACTCTCCTCGCCGCATTTGGCGACGGGGTACTCGAACGCGATGAAGGTCGGAAACGAACGAAGGGGCCCAGCCGATTAAGATTGCGTGATGCATCCAGGAAGCTGACGGAATCGCGTGAATCTTCCCCTGGCCACCGTGTATCGAGACGGGCTCGAGACGGATTGAGTCACTTTGAATATATGACGTAAGCCGCCGCCGATCGGTTTGAATGGTACTCGAAACCAGAAATTCTTGATTCCCAGAGTTTATTGAGCAAATCCCGTCATCGCGGTGAGAACAAATATTTCCTTGGACACCGCCGATGACGGTAGAACGATTTATGAAACCGTCAATTGGCAACCGGATGATACGTTTGTCGATACGCTATGAAAGCTTGTAGATTCATTTATTTTTATCGTGTCGCTTTCATTGCGCAGTCATTGAACGTAAATATTGTTTATCGTATTGTTTATGTGATATTGCGTGGAAGCGAGTTTTAAAACCGGCTCTCTTGTCCATAAAGAGTTGACGATCTTGAGGGACGACTTTGCGTATGTGTAGATGTACGATGCATCGATGGGGAACTAATGTTCGTTTTTGGACGCAATAAGATAGACTAAATGGTTAGATGAGTTAAACGCCATAGTAGGATGTATTCGGTTTTTGAAATGAGCAAATTTGTAAATAATTGGAAAGGCTATAAAAGAAATGTGGGTTAAGACGTATTTATTAATTTATATGACCGACGCTATTTCTCATTAACTCGGTAATCCTTTTTTTAATAACACGATTTAGCACAATTTGGTGTTATCACGGATGTGATACACACAGTAAAGCACATTTATATTGTACATGGTATTAGAATGTATATTAATATTCTGGTCGTTAAGTAATACGATTTTTATTTACACATTTAGAAATGAAACAGATAGTTCGAAGATAATATTCATCGGATTGCTCGTAATCTGTCGAAAACTATTAAATCTAATAATATATTTTATACGAATTCATTTTGTAATGACTGTATAAATTAATATGCATTATTTATTCATTTTATATTAAATTGAAGAAATTTATATCATTTTTCAATTTTTTGTCTATGCTATATCTTTTTCATAAATTATATAAACGAGTTATTGATGATGATGTAAGTTAATTGTTTCTAAATTGTTTAGCACTACAAATTGACATTTAAGATTAATTAAATCAATAAGGTCAATAAGGGTTTATTTATCTTTTTAGTTTTGACCACGTAACGTGCTACCATAAATTAATCAAACCGTTAATTCCAATTAATTGTAATCTCCTACAGCTTCTCCACGATGAAACTAAAATTCAACAGCTAAAACGATTCCATTCAAAGATTTCTAAATCAATCCAATAACTCACAATACAAGAAACTCTTACGCTATCTTCGATTCTCCGAAGCTCACGAAATTTGCCAAGATCTTCCACAACTGAGAAACATCGAATAAAATAACCTTTTCTATCTAGGAAATTCGAATCCTCGTCGATCCCAAGATATCTCGTTGAACAGTGTTAAACGATATCTCGTCTCGCAATCGCGATTCTCACGTGCGTTGAAGACCGGCGCAACGCTGCGACGAGCGACTCTCGATGCACTCGGCCTGGAAAGGTTGCTGTTTTAAATGCGCATACGATTTTGTTGCGCGAAATACGCGATGCGACGGTTCCTGAAACGTTCTCCCCTACAGCCACAGCAGTCCATTAAACGATGAAACTTTTGTCGCGGTTTCAGTATGACCCGCAGCAAAATTGTCGCGAACGGAGCCGAATTCTTTTCGACTTCCGTTCGACACGTTTTACGATGTAAACGGAGCTATTATGCGAACCCGCGGAGAGAGGTGGACCGATTCAAGTACTACCGATACATACGTGTCCCGGGTCCGAATATACGCGCGCGCGCGAGCGCACGAGCAAAAGAAGCCCCGGTACACCTGGCTACACCTGCACGCCGCGCGGAGCCGCACCGCCTCGAGAATTCGTTTCGGAGATCCGCTGAGTCATTGATTTCGTAGCATCTCGAGCCCATTTCCGAGAGGCTTTCGAGCCGTCCGCGGTAACCATATTAAATATTTATGTACTTTATTTGCGGGAACGTGTCCAATTATGTACAATGAAGGAAACGAGGAGCATTAAGGATATTCTACTTCTGAATAATGGGCCGTTTCCGGGATTTTATGAATGAAAAACTGTTCTCGGATTGCCTCGGAATTCGTCGCGGCTATTCATTGACTATTAGAAGGTACTTAAAAGTTTGCTCGCGTTATTAAAGAACGTAGGCCTGCCGGTTTTATGCGTTCGCGGCAAAAAAATCCGCCGGAGAGTTGAAATCTTAATAATGTTCGTCGGCGTCCCATCTTTTTTTTTCGCCTCGGACGGGGTCTTATTTTCATCTAATGAAACTAAGAACGTCATTAATGGCTTTTTTTCGATCGAATCCTGTAATTAAGGATGCGAACTCGCGTCTTGCTGTTCGTTTCGTAAATCAATTATCGACGTGTAATTTTGTAAACGCGTCCGCTGTTGCAAGGTGTGCGTGCGTTTCATTGTTACATTGATACCGATTTG